TTACTTGCCTTTTGCACTGCTCAAGTGGTAGGTGACAGGAAAAAGGTTTAGAAACAATAGAAAGAGAAAGGAAATAAGGCCAAAATAGTATAAAAAGTAAAGATTAAACTAGCTACTACCCTCCAAAAAAATAGTCATTGAGACATGATCTAGTCCTAAATGTTCATGAGATATGAAGATAGTCCTAAGAATATTTCTGCCCAGATTATCATTTTAGGTTTTATAGTCTGCATGGCTATATGAATCAATACTAGTTTCCCTGGTAGTCCTGTGCAGTAATGTCTAGGTAATGTAGGGACCAAACCTTTACTGCGACATGACTCAGCTACTTAACACCTGAATCAGGAAACCAGACAGTAAGTTACAGGTCCAGTCCATCCAATTACAGGCCTTTTTGATGCATGGTATTACAATGACAACAAATGAGAGATCTTGAATTTGTCTTGCCCAAAGGTGTTTTGGGGAGATTACCAATTCAGATTGTTGAACTAACTGACTGAGCTATGCACTAGTCTTATTTCTAGTGATGATTAAATAAGTATTATAGAAACCTAATAAATTCGGGAAAATGCTTAACAAAATCAAAAGCATTATTTGAAGGGCAAGAACACAAATACAAACAACTGAAGACCCGAGTCCACAATCGGAGCAACTTTTGACACAGCAAAGGAAACTGGTTGGTTAATCCAAGTGAATTTTCAAGAGTAAAGTACAGCTTTCTTGTGTCACAGTAGCCTTGGCTTGGTGAAAGATTTTGTGCAAAAATTGAAAAATTGGTTTTTACAGATCAACAGTTTATGTTTCTTTAGTAGATGAGATGACACTAGTATTAAATGTTAATTGTTGTAATCAACCCAGCGCTGTTAAAAGTTCTTTGGATTATGATGGGTCCTTTGTTTTGGAGACAGAAGAGACTGAAACCCAGATACTATGCAAGCATGCTTCTGCATGTTTTCATTTTAGCAGAACCATTGCAAAACACCACCTCCCTTGGAAGGGCAAATTCCGTTAACCTTTTCTGCACTAAGCTCTTGCACATTCAGTTCCATGCAGAAAAGAGTCTTTGTACTTGAATTTGCACCACCTTCTGGTGCAATAGAAAAGCCTCTTTCAACCTGTCCATAGTTCAGGTAATGTTGTGTTCTGTGGTCTGTGGAAATACCTAGAGGAAATAATTCCTTTATAAAGGAAAAGTCCTTAGACTTGGAAAGTGTGAGGCTTCCTCCCGAGAATTCTACCTGCCAGAGTTAAATCAGAACTGGATTCTTAATTACACAAAGGATAAGTTCCTATTTTTAAGACCTAGAACTGTGTCACCAAGAATTTGAGTTGCTTCAGAAGGTTTCTAACTTTCCTCCTATTTGTAATTTCTGTCACCTGGTCACTTAGTGCTTTAGTAATTAACAGGATATGAAGCCACTTGTTACTGTTTC